TCATTTGATTCGCGACGCTCAACGTTCACTTTTGTCCGAGTGGACCGATCCACAAGCTGCCTTGCAAGCAATGCGCTGGGACGAGGCGCTGGGCTATCCATCGCGTAACCCATTTCTCTGGTGGGGTCCTCCAATCACACAAAGTCAGCTGAATATCACGGGATTTGCGATCGGTGGGTCTGGAATTTTAGGAACTACTTGCCCACCAGTGACTACAGACGATACAGTCATAATGTTTCCCCAGACCCAACAATATGTGGTGTTTTTGAAAATCGAACGTGATGGTGGTACAAACACGTTGCAATTTGGTTTTCAGTTCCGCACACTAAATCGTGGAGGCGTCATGTTTTATCATACCGTGGACAAAGATATCAATTTCATATCGGTAAGTGTAGTTTATTACATTGGTGTGTAATAAAAAAGTGTGGTTTCCAATTGTGAGTCATTCGAACGGTACGAATGGGACCATGGTTTCATTTACCGAATAATCTATTCTGACGGATATTCTTTCATTTACTTAACTGAAGAATAAATAATTTTTTCCGATCACTTTATAATTCCGTTTATTGTTGTTGAATTATCGTAACTGTTTATTAAGTTCATGGTTGATATTGCACAGCAGCATGAGCGATTGCATACGTGAACTGTGGTGACCCGGTGGTAATGTCACCAATTATCGCCCCGGAGGACGTGTGTTCGACTCCCACCATCCCACTATGCGTGTTGTATGGCAGCCCTTTGGCCTTTGGCCGCTTACCTCTTCCTGAAAACGATGCCTTTGTATACTCAATAAAAAGAAGTGAAAATGAAGATTAAAAAATCTCCTGAACACCGCCACGGGTTGTGCAAAAAGAAATACGACATTCATGATGTTATTGAAGATTTGGGTTATTTTGAACTAACCATTTGTTGACTAAATTCATCTGAAACTGAACGCAAACAAACTCATTGGTTCATAACTGTTGTCCATCGAACGCACCCTTGACTATTGACGCAATTGGTCAGACTCATTCGATTTTTCTATCCACGATTTAACATAACTTATCCTGCACATTTATTGTCAGCTACTGACTTCACTTGTCTCAGCATTAACCCTTAGGCTGAGGCTGGTCACATTGTTTTTTGTGTGTATCTAAACACACCGGTTCGAAATAGGACAAAATGATGCTAAACAAAACAGCGCTTTAGAAGTTTTCTATGGGACATACATCGGTTAGAGAAACACTCACCAAAAGTCTACCGATTGTGCAAGTTTGTTTACTCTGTTTACCTTTTTTAAACTGGAAATGATAAACTATTCCTGGGTCGCTTGCAAGCATAATTAAAATAATTGGTGTACATTATCAAGCGTTGTATGGGGAATGGGTCTCAAGCCAAAATCATACTATCAATTCTTTTGCACAGGCCATGAGTATCCTACAGTTTGTTCCTCATTTTTTGGTGGTGGAGTGGGAATGTTGTAGAACTGAGACCCCAGTGCGTTTACCTGTTGATGAACGCAGCACTGACGGAACAGTAACAGACAAAACCCTGAGTTCTGGGTCCCCGTGATATCTAAGATGGTACAAATACAAGCCGGAAAATTTAGAAATAGTGAAGGAGAATGAATTTTTAGTTTGAAAATGGATTGCGACTTGTGGGAGAGAAGAAGAAAGGAATTTGGAGATAGGAAAAAAACGGAGGTGGAAGAAAGAAAAAAATCGGGTTGATGTAAGGATGACAGCATGTGAGAAAAATTAATAATGAGGAAGGATGTATCATCAATTTCTGACCTGCTTCTCTGTCGGCTAATTCGGTAAACACAACACTGGACACTTCTCTTAGCATCACTTTAAATTGTTTTATAGATTGCTCAAGACCAAACTAATGGTAGCCAACTGCCAAGAAAGAGTTAACCCTTGTTCTTCTATACACTCAAGGTTTCACAAATTTCATTAAGTAAGGTCCTAGGGCTCTTTTTAACTGAGAGGTAGAGGTTTCCGAAGTTGGTACACCAAGCCATTTGAGAATCTGAAGACCTCAGTCAAGTAGCTTCCATGTCTCCCATGGGAAAGTGAGAAGAGCCTGTGCTCTCTCAGGTGCTGCGTGTACGGTATTATCCTATTAATCAGCCTTACTGGACAGTTTCAATAGCCTTTTACCCCTAAAATCGTCGAATATATAATATGATACCATCCATCGCTTTTGACAGGGTTTATAGTATTCCTGGGTTCCTGGATGTTACTATTTTTCACAACAAGAATGATATGCTTGAGGCCCTTTGCTACAGCTGAAATGAGCCCTGTTTTACGAATGCTATGTCTCCAGCGTGTTCCGTTTTATGCCTCTCAACAGAACTCGGGGCATTTGTGTCCCTAGACTTATCTTGGTCAACCATTCGGAGAATTTCGTTCACTGATTAGCACAGATAGACAAACTCATCCCAGTTTCACGATGGGGGTTGAGAATAACGTTTGATATACTTACGTACTTTCGCATGCGTATTTCCTGTTGTGTACGAGGAACAAGAGCAGAGCTTCTTGTTATCCATGTACATGTCTGTATCGCCTTGTGGTTTTGACTTGACATTCCAAGGATTTTAATTTATTTCTGGTTTACTTGGTTTTCTGCTACTGAGTTACGGAGAGGAAATAAAATAAAAAGTAATTTCAAAGGAAGACAAGTAAAACGAAGTTCAGCATGATCTGTCTACCGAAATCACAACTGAAATGTTCCATTACTGAACACAGTCTGTTTGGCCTGTCACAAACACGCACACATGCATATATA